CAATAGTCCAGTGCAACCTTGTAAAGTTTGAGACAATGCTTGTTAAAAGCAAAAGCCATCTACGGCCATGCCACCTTGAACAAGCCCGATCCCGTCTGATCTCGGAAGCTAAGCAAGGTCGGGCCTGCTTAGTACTTGGATGGGAGGCCACCTAGGAAGACCAGGTGCTGTCGGCGTAAAAGATAAAGAAAGGGATTGTAAGCTGACAAGGTCCTTGCAATCTGTGAGGTCAACCAAGGATTGCCTCACCTAAAAATAAAACAAAACAAAAACAAAAAAAGCCAACTCATAGATTTTTGTGGGGCAAAACACAGAAATTACTGAAAAGCCTTCCTTATAGTTACAGTGCTGCAGCAAGCTGTATCTACAAGGTATGTGTACCTACAGGTCAGCATCTCTTATAACAGAGGAAGTTCCACATATGGCTGTGGATATGGGTGGATTAAAGGAGAAAAGTAAATTGAGGGAGCAGATACCTCTAGCTTCCTCCCAGGCTCTGGTATCTAGTGGCAAGAAGCATACTCTCATAGTTCTGCTTAGTACTAGAGCAGTAACAAATACAAATGAAAGCTCCAAATATGGAAAGCACTGAATAAAAATTACTTGATCTATAATTGTAAAACAGAAAAGACAAAAATAATGTTATCAACAACAAAAGAATGCTACATTTACTAGATGAAATATTGGGTGGCAAATAAACTTGATTCTGAAAAACGTTCAATGACATGCAAATTCAGAGTATGCAGCTATGCAAAGAGCATGATCCCAAATGGGATCTGTGTGTCTGTGTGTATAGAAAAGAACTGTGAAAAGAATTTCACCAAAACTTGAATAAAAAAAGTTAGCTGGTGTGATTACAGACGAGTTTTTATATCTTCCCAAGAAGTGCCCTGCATTTTCCACGATGAAAATCTACTGTTTTATCTTTGTTAAATGTTCTCTTTTAAAGAAAGAAATATATGTATCTTCTAAATCTATATTTTCAGGATTTGAAGAAATGAACACAATAAAATTAAATTATTCTTTCGCTAATATTTGAAAATAAATGTCTTTATTATATTTTGCATTGGACTTAGGAAAACAATCTCAGAATATATCTATCACTTTCTTCATACCATTTTCTTACTGCTTATAAACAGACCTGCCCAAAACATTGTATATATATTTTCATAAGACATCCATACTTATAAAATGTAAAGACCAAGAGAATATATAAACAGAATATTCTACAAAATAATACTCTTAATTTTAGACATCAGTTATGTCTAATATATTATGCAAATATGTTCAAAATTAAAATCGATCTTTTACTACTTATAACTATAAAATTACTTGGAGAGCTCTAGAAAGATGGTCAGTATCATTAATAAACTCATACCTATGTTAATGACGTTTTTTAAAAATTAGATCCGATATAGGTCTGCAAAGATAAAATATTTAAAGCCTTCACAATGTAAATTTTGATGACTTAATGAGCAAAAATCATTTAATTAAATACTTGATGATTCAGAGTCCAGTGAAACCAATTAAAATATATTTCTAATAGAAACAACAGCATTACGTTTCCAGATAAATGCCAGAAAAATAAAAAATTTAATATTAATAAGATCCTTTTAAAACAAAAGAAGAAATCAACTACTTTCCTTTAAAATTTTAAGCAAAAGGTATAATAAATTTTAACTGTACTATATATATATGGGAGAAAATTCTATCTGTAACATTTCATGAGCATTTTCCCTAGTAAGAAGCTCATAATAGAGCCTTAAATGCATATGTAAAAATTCTGTGAGTTGCATAATACTTGTTCTCTTTGTCATGTAAAATTGAAAAATAACATTTGATGTTAAAGCAAAATCAGATGTTGGAAAAAATGCATTTTATTACCACATATCACCACTGAATACATGAGGAAAATATGCTGAAGTTAGTTAATCTGTGTGTATATACTAACAGCAATCTTGTACCACTGATTACGGCTGCAGGTACTAATGCTGTGCATGAATTTTGATGCAGTTTTAACATTTCTTAGCTTACCAAGTAATAACATGACAGGAAACACAAACCTAAACCAAAGTATGCAGTCAAAATAGTAGCAAGAAGTTTTTAAAAAGGGGGAATGTGAATTAGTGGCATAAGTAGCATCTTGTGTTTATGTCAGGGATGGGCACGCAAGAATACTGTTTTGTTACGTAAACAGGAAAAGCTTCCCTCTTAATTCCAGCAGAGTAACATTAGAAACCCCTTCAATCCACAAGGCCCCATTTATAAAGTTCATCACATTGCTTAAACAGTAATCATTGGGCTAGAAGTCATAGGGCTTTTTTCCACTGGAAATGTATTTTTGTCTTATATTCTTGTTTTTATTTCCCCCAGTTGGACCAACACACACACACACACAGACACACAAAGGGAGAAGACTGTACATATATCGACAGGTTATCCATATTTCTTTATCTACATATATACATGTGTATGTGCATGTATGTACACAAACATACTTCTTTATCCATAATTTACTTATAAATTGCCTACTACGTGTCAGGCTCTGTGCCTCATTAGGGATGAAAAAGAACCAAGATTTGGTTCCTGTCATCAAGCAGCAAACAAAAAACTGCCCACCTGTTTGGTTTGCTTAACACGTATGGCTTCAATATCACTTGCTGATAGAACTCTTTTCAGATGGGAACCTCCTTTATAGACCATCTGTCTCAAGTGAATCAATGTAGTCTGGCTCTAAACTTCCAGTCAGCGCAGTTCTGTAGGAATCCCGACTCCCAGGTCCCTGGCCCTTAGCTACCTAACACATCATAAGACAGAGCATCGGCAGTCAATCGATACTTGCTGATTGGTTGACTGCTTGGCTGAATCATTAATTGGCATATATTTGGAAACAACAATAACAAAAGGATGGCAGCTAATAATTGATAGCTTATTAGCTATCAGATACTTTGCCAAGCCCTTCATGTATATTTTCACATTTAACTGTATAACGGAGGTATCATTATATCTGTTTTAAAAGTAAGCCTCCAAGTTTTAAGCAACTTGCCTAAAGCCACATAGTGAGAAAATGATTTACACTCAAAGTTCTGCCAGTGGCCGCTAATGTTATACCACCTCTAGGAGAGAAAGGCCCTGTCTGTAAATGGCTCGACCCAATGACCTTTTGATTTCTAGTTAACTATACTTTGTGGATCAACACAAAGAGCTAAGTAAATCAAAGTATGTGACAACCAAATATACAAAAAAAATAAGATAAGCAAGCACATAGGCTGTACATATTTATGTGTGTGTATTTTTTAAGATTATTCACCATTACAAACTTCACAGACATCCTTTCTCTACATTAGCACCTACTGTCAAGACTCAACTACATAGTTTTAACATCTGAAAGGGATTTTGTTTTTAATGATTCCACTATGAGCATTCAACCGCAGACCTGTTTCATATCTATATCCCATCCTTAGCATCCAGCAAAACGCCTACTACATACTAGATGCTCCATACATTGCAGTGGAACACAATCATTAACTCTTGAAACTCTGTTCTAAAAAAATGTTCCATTTATATGCCTGATAACGCATATATATCAGGAACATCACAAATAGAATCAGTGAAGAAATACTTATTTTAAACAGAACAAGGTAAACTACATTTTCAACATATCAAAATTTTCACCACTATGTCTTAAATGCAAATAAATATAAAACATGTTAACACATCTTCAGGCTAAAATTTTAATTATGGAAAAGTTGGAAATTTTAGCATTATCTCCACAGCAACTACACCCTGGCAACAGATACATTAAATATGTGTGAACATTAGACATAATCAAAACAAAGCATGACATAAAAACTAAATTGCAGTGGTTGTCAAGACTGTAGGACTAAATTTAGCAACTTAAGCACATTTAATTACAAACTCCAAATTAACTTATATTTTATTTCCTTGATTTTAAAAATTATTAGAAAGCTAAATTCATGTGTGTGTACGTATATACATATATGCATATATATGTATATATGTATATACATTGCAGTGAAATTTGCAAACAACAAGAAGAGGAAAAGATGAGCAAAGCATTAAGAAAGTTTCTTCCTAGAGGTTTATGAAGAGTTTTATGACACCCAACCCAGTGATAGGTCCCTCATCATAGACTTTAGTAACCCTTATGAAGTGTAGGATCCATTTGGCCCAGCCTATTCTGCTTTATCCTATTAATCATACTTTAACAATCTTTTCTACATTCAACTTTTATCACACTTGACTGCAAATCCTGTTAAGAAGTTGATGGAAGAAACAGAAAGAAAATTTAAATATTCTGTCTTCTATTCTTAGTTAATTTTCTGCTATAAAAATAGTGACTCTCTAAAAGTCCCTAGTATTCTATCCAATGTCTGATATATAGCAGATGCTCAAAATAAATTTACACATCCAGTGACAAGAAAGCAGTAAGCCTGCTGGGGATGTTCCAAGGTTACCAACCCTCTTAAGCTCCAGTCTCTGCAATTGCAAAAATAAGCATAATAGCATCGATTTCATAAAATTACTATAAGTATTAAAAGTGCCTAGCATATGGTGAGCACTTTATTATTACATATTTCATTTTGAGCCTCTGTTTCCTCATAGATTAAAGAGGATCAACAAAATCTAACCAAAGAGTTGTGAAAACTAAGTTCACATATGTAAATCAGCTTGGCACAAATGCATGATACATAGTAGGTGCTCGATAAACCATAATTCCTTCCTTTGCTACCTTGCCTCTAAATTCCCATTTTAAGATTCAGAAGGAATTTGAAATCATATGAATTAGAAGGTTACTGGTTGGTTGAAAGAATAAAATCATGGCACTCTAATAAACTTCAACCGTTTTTTCCGGCACCAATACAACTTTCCTATGGAACACTAAATTAGCATTCTTTGATACATAAAATATGTGCTACAAGAAATACTAGAAGAGATTCAAATAAGTCTTTTAAATTAGAATTCATTCATATTTTTACCTTTTCTTCTAGTTGGTCCTTCAAATTCTCATATTTCAGCTTCAGTTTTTTGTTCTCATTTTCATTCTGAGTTAATTCCTCTGTCAGCCTGTCACACTGTGATTTCAACTTCTCGAGCTGACAAAGATGGACTTTAGCCATATTCTTATCTTCTAAGCTTTCTGCCTGAGAAAAAGAGAAGGAAAAAAGAGAAAATCCACTGGCCATAGTCAAATTGTACACCAAATTATACATTATATCGGTAGGCAAATACGTCGAGATTTTGCTATCTGAAAGAATCCATACATAAAAATACAAAAGAAATGCTTTTTGAATTTATTCAATCACTCCTTAGCACTCACTGAGCATTTACTAAGTGAAAGGTCCCGTACTAGGCACTAAAGATAACAGATAAGAACAGTAAAAGAGACAGATGCAAAACTAAATTTCTCTAACAATTTGCAGTCAAGTGTGATAGATGTGCTTCATAAAGGTGTAAGTGAGGTATTGTGGCAACCCGAAGAAGGGACACTAACTCCGCTGAGAAGGGAAGGAGTTATTAGAGAAGTGTCCCAAAAGGGCAGTACTATGAGATATCACTGACTGACCAGTTTCCTCGTCTATAAAAGGAACTTAACAACATTCCTTTAAACCTACCTCCTGGTTTTTGTAAAAGAATTCTACGCTTTTTATACAATATAAGTACTGATGCCACTCTTACGAGGCTAAAAAGATTATGAAATTATAGCAGGCAAGAAACTACAAATAACTTGATATGAAAAATAGCTTACCAGTGATTATCTCAGTAACAACAGTGTAATAAAAAAGTACAGTCCCTGGTTTTTAGTCTTTAATTGGAATATAATCAGAATCAGCTTTTAAAAAGTTAGGAATAATCTATTATGTGTATGGGATTTAATAAAGATTTGCCAGGTATGTGAACTTAAAAACTTTGAAAATAATAACCATGCAAACTCTGTATGTCAGGGAGCTCCTCTAAAACTTTTGTGTGGTCTTTCCTCATTTCGTTTTCACAACCACCTGACCAGGCAGGTACTGTCATTGTTTGCTTTTTTGAACCTGAAGCACAGAGACACTAATAACTTGCCTAAGGGTACACAGAGAGTACATGCAGAGCCACACTGCTTTGCAGAAGGTACATCTACAATAAGGTTTTACAAACAAGCTGGGTGCAACTTGCTGGATGCAACTTGCCCTGTTAACTGGTCACACCTACCAGTTACCAACAGTCTGTAAGCGACTACATATAATCTGTTTAAAATAAATGTTTTAAGGCCTAAAATGTAAGTTTCTTTTCTTTTTACAAGTTTATTATATGTGTTTAATCAGGTGTGTAGGAACACAATCATTAGAAGCAATTTCCTGAAAGAAGTTTTGTGAGTCTTAGACAAAACCTATATTTTATTCACCCCCACAAAATTCACCTGAGACTTGATGCCATTTTGAATGAACAAAGAAATTGATTTTTATGAGGAATCCTGTATTCATAACCCAAAAATAAGTTTACAAAATAAAGTCTCTCATCAGGAAAACTGTTCGATTATGATTTTAAATTACGGCACAACGCTTTGGCTTTTCCTTCAGTCTTATAGAAAGTGTAGGTAGAGAGGGCTCCCCCTAAAGCTAGTGGTGTGCTGGAACCAGCTCAAAGAGACTCTTTAGAACCAAGGGGCTCGTCTCTTCCCAACTCTGTCCCTTTCCAGTGAGGTCTTGTTTGATAGCTTGAATAGCTTGGAATCAGCCAAATGGGAGTATTTATACAACTGAACTTGGAAGTGCTACCATTCAACCCCCACAACACATGCCCAGAAAGCCTATTTTAAAACCTTTACCAGCACACCAATGCCTAAGCTTGACTAAGAACTTCCTTCTTTTTGTGGTTTGATTATTACATGTACATTTCACTTTAGGATTTACAAAGTGATGTCATACTCACAAAACCCTGATAAAGACATTACTCCTCTCATTTTATTGATTAGGTACAAAAAAGGTTAAGTAATTTGACTAAGATCATATGGCCAGCAGGTGACAAAAGTATAGAACTCCAGTTCTTGGTCTTTTGATTCCAAGTAAAGGCTCTACAAAATAATTTCTGTTGAAATCATAATGAGGTGATCACCCAATATCCTGCAAATAGTAATAGCAGCTAGAGTATTTCATTTAAATATTTTACATTTAAATTTTAAAACAGGCATGAGAAGGGTAGTTCTAAATGGAGAAAAACTATAAGTTGTGCCATGAAAAAATATGGGTAACATATCAGAACTTATTAGAATCAGAAAAAGTAATAAATTACGGTAAAGCTGAAAGACAATGAAATACATTTATAGAACTACTTGTCCAAAGCCCTGTTATACATAATTCACTATATTAAATCTTCTGTGATGTCCATTGTTATCAACTCCTGTTAATTAACATAAATAAGTAAAAAGTGTAGGATTATGTTAATGAAATAGCATGAGGTAAGGATTCCTCCTATGGGTAACTTACTCAGTTTTAAAGAAAATACTGGGCCCTCATAATCTCTGGTTCTCCTTTTAAGTTCTTGGGCTGCAACACCCCTCCTAAATCTATCTTCCAAGTTAAAAAAAAGAAAAAAAAGTCTAAAGGTTTCAGAAGATCTACAGAATACTTCTAAATTATACATTCTTTACATACAGGTAATTTCTTAAGATTTAATGTCATCTCACTATACATGAATACAAAGTAATTCCTAAAGAAAAGATAAGGAATTCAATTTTCCCATATTACAGGGAAAAATCCAAACCAGAAAAATCACAGCAATTCAGGAACAAATCCTCTGACTTCCAGCTTCTTAAACATTTCAACTCAGCATCCACTGATTATTGTCTGTGTGTCTCGAATATTGCTGGACACCACAAGAAGACATAAAAATGGTGAAAACCTGACACCTGCCCCTCTGGAGACTTACGGACACACAACAAACTATAATATAAGGCAACATAATTGTTCTGTACTAGAGGTACCAACAAAGAGCTATGGGAACACAGAGGATCGAGAGAGAGCTCTAGCCCGACCTCAGTTGAGATACATCCCTACTTCAGCGAATCCATAAAAGAGGTGAAAAATTAAGTGGGCCTTTATATGAACAACTCCAGGGGGACCATATCAAGGAGGGCTGGATAAGAGTTGAGACTTTATTCTGAAGACAGTAAATAATCAGTGAAGGTTTTTGAGCAGAAAATGACATGCTCAGATCTGTATTTTGGGAAAGGACATTGAGTGGTATCTGAAGGTTGAAAGGGAGGAATTGGGAGGAGAAAGAGGAACTGAAAGGGAAGCAGGGAGGCCACTTAGAGCTGCGTCTTGGTAGTCCAGATTAGCAGCCGGCATCCTGTTTTCTACTGCGACACACCGACACATGATACATTGTTCATATGCCGATGCATCCGGGAGCAAATGCAATTTCTGTCAAGTAGGCTATACCTCAAGAAAGCATATCACAGTCTACGGCCATGCCACCCTGAACAAGCCCGATCCCGTCTGATCTCGGAAGCTAAGCAGGGTCAAGCCTGGTTAGTACTTGGATGAGAGACCACCTAGGAAAACCAGGTGCTGTCGGCGTAAAAAAAAAAATAAACAAAAAAAAAAACAAAAAATAAGGGATTGTAAGCTGACAAGGTCCTTGCAATCTGTGAGGTCAACCAAGGGTTGCCTCACTTAAAAATAGAAAAAAAAAAAAAAGAAAGCATATCACAATGTGAGAATGATGTTCCTATAGAGATGATCTTTAATCTGCTAACTGGTTAAAATGTTACTAACTCCTTTTGACATGCATGTTTATCACACAACCTGAATAATGGTGATGAGGGCCAGCAATCGTGACAAAGAAAGGAGAGTGTAGTTTTAACATTCTCAAAAATACTGCAAGCTCCTTGAAAGAACCATTTCTCAAGTCATGACCTAACAAATCATTACATACTTATCCTCACACGAAAACCCTGCCTTTCTCTGAGATTCACACTATTTACTCATCAACTCTCCCTTCCTTGCTGGCAACAGCTAACTGACCTGTCACCTTCTTCTTTGAGGTTTTTGGCAAGTGATCAATTAATGCCTTCACAATAGCATCATAAATACCCAAAGAGCCATTCAATAAACTAATACCAAAGTTATTTAACCTGTTCTATTCCAACCACCTTCACCCACAAAAGCAACCACACCTTGGACCTTAACTCTGAAAATCTAAACTCTACTATAAAAATTCCTGACCATTTAAGCAACCTATGACCACAGATTCTTACCCACTCACTTTCTCATTCTTTTGCCCACAGTACTTCTTTGATGTTAGCCACATCCATACATTACATGCTTCCAGACTAGTCTCGTGGGGTTTCTACCAGCCATCTCAGCATTTTACATCTTCACCACTTATAAAGTACTGTACTGCAGCCCTACTCCTCTTCAGAGGGAGGAAGGAGACTACCAGTCAAGAATCACATCGATATCCCCAGTCTATCTCTATCACTTACGCAATCTTACTGATTTCTTTCAAACACTTTCAGTGGAAGATATGCCCTGTCTCCAAAAATGCTGTCTACTCTGTCTTTGATCCAACTCCCTCACATCTCCTCATGAACCTTCTCCACCTGTCTGTCACATATGGCACACCTGACTAGACCTTCCTGAAATGTCCTACCTGGATTTCCAAGATGCCATTCCCTTCTGGTTCTCCTCTTGTCCCTTATATGGTCCTTTATTCTTATTTGCTAAACCGCTTTCTCAGTTCTTCCCTTAAACACTGATGTTCTACAGTTTCATACTTTTTTCCTAAAAAAACTCATCTAAATCCCATAATTTCAACTACCATCAATGGGCTACAAATACTTTAATCTCAACTTCCACCTCAACATCTAACCCCCCCTAAACTGTCCTACCCAGACCTTCATGGTTAGGCCTAAGAATCTCTCTACCTAACTCAACATGTGAAAAAATTGAGTTTGGCATTATTCTCTCCAAATCTGCTCTTCTGTCTATATTATCAATCTTGACATATAGCCTTGTTATCCACCTACTCTTCCAAGCCTATACCCAGTCATCCTTGTAATAAATCTTTTCCAGCACACCTCTGACTACCTGAGTTCAAATCCTGTCTCTAACACTCTCTAGCTGTAAGACTCTGGACAAGTTACTTAATTTCTCATGTCTCAATTTCCACATCAAAGAGAAAATAATACCATATAATCTGCAGGGATAATGTGAATATTAAATGATTAAGACATGTAAAGTTCTCACAGTAATGACTGACACAAATTAGGTGCTAAACAATGTCTCCTATTGTTATTTTTATTGTCACAGCCAATCAATCGACATATGATCTACATTTTATTTTCTTTAAAGTAGCTCTTCTCTGTATCTCTGTTTCTACTTGTTTGTCCTCATCAACTTAGGTCATATTTAATCAAAATTAAGACATATTTTTTCCACATTTTACTATATCTGCTTTGGGATGTTGTCTTAGAGTTAATAGCATGTCATGTTTTCACAGCAGGATTTTTTTTCTTAGTAGCACAGAATAATAATATTTCTTACAATTGATGGTATCCTTGGTTCAGTGAACTATAGTAAAGGCCTCTTGCCTATTCTTCCAGCTTCCATTCTGCTTTGCCTACCACCCATAAATGACCCCAAATCTACTTCTGCCAGGAGGCTATATAGGACTAGGGAAGAATTCATAAAATGGCTGAAAGCGTTCTACAAATGTTAGCTATTTCAATATCATTTGGTCTTTCACCATAAGCATTTTTATGGTAGTTGAATTTCAAGGAATTTTGGAAAAAATTATAATTAACCTTTGAAGATTTATCCTATTCAACAGATATTAACAATGTTCCAGGAACTGTTCCAGGCACTGGGGCTATAGCTATAACAAAACAGACAAATCCAAGTCCTCACAGAATGTTCAATCTAATAAAGGGAGATTAAAAATTAAATAATATATGGAATCTATATGATGATAAGTGCTATGAAGAAAAAAAATAAAGCAGGAAGGAGGGATAGATTTATCAGACCCCTGACAATTGTGTTGAGAAATGCATGGTGATAACACTAATACCATTAGATTAGACCTTAGAAACAGTTCCCCAAATGCAAGTTCTCAATAATGCATTTCCCCAGGCAACTTCGATTTAGAAAAGAAAGGGTAAATCTCAAAAGCCTTGCGTTTATACAGCCTAGAAGCTGATCCACTTTAGCTACCATACTAATAAGGACTGTGGTTATAGCTTCTATGGCCTTGACGAGTCTTTGCCTTTCATATTTTAGGAGGTCATAAATGTGAAATGGGGGCACGTTTCAGGGCCACAACTTACTGCCACCTCTGCCTTTCCTGAACTCCCAAAATAGCTAAAGGTTCTTTTTAAAAGGCTTCAGTGCTCTGACATAGGTGCTCCCAGGTGGCTGCTATAACTCATTTCAACCTGACCGAACAGGCATGAATAAGCCTCTTTATTGTTAGTTTTATCTTCCCTTCAGTGCTTGGGAATACAGAATGATCTCTAAAAGTTTACGCTTTATTAACTTCATGAGCCACCAGAAAAATTCCTTCAGTATCATCAAGATAATTCAGCGCAGGTACCTTCAGTGTCTTAATATGATTCTCAGCCTCACTCTTTTCTTTCTTGAAGTGCTTCATCAGCTCCTGGATATTTTGTTCGTGTTTAGTTTTCACACTCTGCAACGATGATGTGAGATCGTCCAGCTCCCTCCGGTGAACATCCCGTTCCAGCTTTAACTGTGTAATGATTGTAGCTGTTTCTTCATCTCTGGATTCTGCCTGCGTCTTGAGGTCAGAAAGGTTTTTAAGCACCTCCTTCCTGGCTCTCTGTTCCTCAGCCAATTTATTAGCGAGATCTGCCCGGATGGCACTCAAGTCCTTGATGGCCTCTTGCATCTCAAGAAGTTGAGCTTTGTCCTTGGCCTGGCTTTTCTGTAGCTCTGCAATTTCTTCCTCCAGGTGAGTTTTCTCAACTTTCATCTGGCTTTGAATCTTATTCTGCTTTTTCAATTCACTTTCTAGCCTACGAATGGTGTCCAGGGAATCCTTGATTTCTAGTTCAAGGTCAGTTTGATGAGCCTGAACCTCACTTAGTTTCTGCTCCTTACAGTGAAGCTCCTCCTCTTGAAGGGCACGCTTTGTGATGACGTCATTCAATTCCTTCCGAAGGTTCTCTATTTGTTGCAACGCTGCATAAAGCTGGCTCTTTAATTCATCCTTTTCTTTTAGAATCTATCGGGTTAAGAATATAAAACAAAATAGTTACTATAAAATTCACCAAAGACACTTCCAAAACACAAAATAAAGTTCAATCCACAAGGAGAAGAAAAAGTCATCATATGATACTTTGTATTTTTTCCATTTTTTAAAGAAAGTATTTTAGCCGAGGAAAAATATATAATTACCTTGAAGGAACACCACATTGAAATACATGCTTCAGATTTTCATCACCAAAATATATCAACTCAAGATCATAAATAATTATTTAAATGTAAGATAAAATTGACCAAAGGAACGGGAAAAGAAAAAGACTCCTACTGTAGTTTACCGGAGGTTGAAATAATATAGCTTACTTAAAATAACAATAATTTGCACTTCAATGTCACACTTTTAAAAAGGAGAAACCTCAAAACAGATACGGAAGATAACATAGAGAAGCATATAGATACTAAAAAAGGTTAAGGTACAATCAGTCATTATTAGTAAAATAATATCAGTAGTGACAAAAAAAACACACCAGTATGTAACTGAGAGTCTTGAGGCCCCACAAAGGTAGAAATGAGATTAATTTAAGATTAGGAGAAGCTGAGAAGGGACTCAACAGAAAAGTCAAGGGACAATATGGTCATCACCCACCGCCAACTGCTTAAGGGGTTAGGGTTTACACTGAGGGAGACGGGCCAGGAACTAATCCTCTCATCCTCACCATGCACCAATGCAAATGAAAAAGCTGGCAGCTAAGGAAGTCGAAATTGCCACCACACACAACACGAGCACCAAGGACAATCTCTGTACCTGCTTGCTGATGCCCACCATAACTCAAACCTAGAAAAAAAATTAAAATTCTCGTTTCAGAATTCGAAATGAGTTAAAATGCAAATACTTGGGAGGCATTTTTATACTTTGCATTTTAATACTTCAGTGTGAAGCAATTCTTGATAAAATGTAATGATCGATCACTCAAAAAAATTTTTTTTTCCTCAAATCCCTCTTGGTTCAAACAGGGAGAAATGGCATGAAGCTAACATGAGAAAGAATGAAAGGAGGTGGGTGATTAGGCATCTGAGCTCCGACGAGAGAGAACTGATTTTGATTCTGTCCAGTTATAAGTAGTTTTATGGCCTTAAGGAAATTACTTGTCTTTATAAAGATAACGATAAAGATATATAATTGGTTTGTGAAGACTAGTGGGAAAGGGGGAACCAAAAAGTGCGGGTGAGATTTAGGTTCAAAGAGAATCCAGGACCTCAGAGAGGTATTAATGCAAGAGAGTGATCGAAACTGGAAAAAGAGGGGTTAACCGATAAGTCAATGTCCCTGGATTGAAAAGACTCTGGAACACAGATAAACGAGTTCACTTTGGAAAGATTGTAATGCAGGAAAAATGGCTAGAAATATAGATAAGCCTAAGGGTACATGTATTACTTTTCTATTGTAGTGTAACAAATTCCAACAAACTTAGTCGCTGAAAACAATACTCATTTATTATCTCACTATTTCCACAGGTCATAATTCCCTGCGAGGTATTCATTCATAAGACCTGGCAATAGTTTCCCAAGGCTAAAATCAAGGTGTCGGCTGACCTGGACTCTCATCTGGAGGCTCTGGGGAAGAACTCACTTCCAAGTTCATTTATGTTGTTGGCAAAGCTTAGTTCTGTGGATTTAGGACTTGGGTCCCTGTTCCCTTGCTAGGTTTGGTCCAAGGGTTGTTCTGAGCTTCTAAAGGCCACCCGCAATCCTTGGCTCATGGACTCCTCTGTCTCTGAAGCCAGCAACACCACAATGAATCTTTCTCATGTTTTGAATCCCTCTAGCTTCCCATTCTATCCAAAGCCAGAAAAAATGTATCTGCTTTTAAGAGCTCCTGTGATTAGATTAGGCCCATCCAGATAATCTTATCTTGAGATCAATAATCATGGGAGTGAAATCTCATCATGTTCACAGGTTCCAGGAATTAAGGTGAGACATCTCCGGGAGGTCACCCTTCTTACCACACTAGGGAAGATGAAAACTGACAGAATCAAGTCTTAGCTGTAAGGATAATGTGGAAGGGGCCTGAGAATAAGGGGAGGAGGCTTAAATATAGTGATTATTTTTTAGAACAGATAATCTAGCCTCCTGGCCATAAGGAAAGAGACTCCTCCATGCAATCCTGAAGATAAAAATCATATTTCCAAGATGAAGCTCTAGCAGGTAAAACATCTTTGATTTAAAATACTATAATGTCTACCTAAAGTTAGCTTAAACAGCAATGATATTTATTTCTCCCACACAGCAGGAAGACCAGAGAGTTGGTGGTTCAGGAAGAGTCCTCCAAAGCTCGGGCTCTGCTACTCTACAATTCTTCAGGTTTTGCCCTCCCCCCACCACCCACAATCCCCGCATGAGTGCTTTAAGCGTCACATCAATTCATGACAGAGGTGACAGTCACAGACTATGTTGGTCAAGTTTAGAATTTCTTTGGCAATACAGATACTAAAAACTAAGTAAGTTCTACCCATTTGCTTTTGGTTAATTGCTTGGTTAGTAGCCACAGCCCAACATTTTGTCTAGACGTTGTCTCTGAGTCTGAAAATGTCAGTGTCTTAACCACCAGCTCAATATCCTAGACATTCCCAGGAGCCCTAAGATAAATAGCCTTTATCTTGAGGGAACTCAGAACAATGGACTTGGGGCCCCTCTGTCCGGCCAGGAATGCTCAAACAGAAGTCCTTGAAAAAGGCCTGCTTTTTTACCTCATATTTATTTCTGCTGAGTTTCCTACTCTCCCTCTCTCCCTTGGACTAACTTCGGCATGGATAAATAATTTGGCTTTTCCAACCCTAAAAGACTCCAAATTATCAGACTCAGTAAATTTGGATTACAAATTATAGATTTTCAGTCTCCCCACACCAAACAATCTTGCCATCTGCTTTCAGACAGACTGCTTTCAACCCATACTTGTCTTTCTCTTGTAGGACCTTTCTGAAAGCTGCAATAACAACGTGACACACTCCAGCATCCTAAAGTTTTCCTTCTGGTCACTTAATACCGTACTCAGGCACAGCATCAATGCCCCAAGGTATAAAATTTGACAGTTTAACCAACTACTTCCAGTTGCATAGTAAGGTTTGCCAACTTTCCCTTTAGAAAGATATGACCCTCCCTGTCCTCACCCCACTTCTCCACTTAGTCAATCCTACATTTAGGTCTTTTACGCATAGCTCCTCACTCCTAGAATTGATGCTTCACATCAACTTGAATTTCTTCTGCTGAGAGAAAGAGAAAACGCCAATTCGAGCTAGCTTAATCCACCAGGTAACTTATTATCATTCTGAAAGCAGCACTGCTCCAGACACAGCATGTCAGAGCTCTAGATCCAGCTCTCTGCATTTCCCTCAGCAATACCCACCTCTGTGTGCGACTTCGTTCTCAGGACCATAGCAAGACAACTTCAGCCAGCCCCGGCATCACAGCCAAATACAACAATATCTAGAGAAGGAGAAAAGCTCTTTTCTTGTGTATCTTTTTGAAGAATGAGTAAATGTTTACCAGAAACTCCCCCGACAGACTTCATAGCTCACTGAGCAGAACAGAGCTGTGTGCCTACATTAACTTTTTAATGGGATGGGATGGACTGGGGTGGGGGATGTTACCAAGACCACCACAGGAGCCAAGTGACATTTCTTTGTAAGTTTTGCTAGTACTATTCAGGAGCACGAACGGAAAAAGTGGGGAGTTGGGTTGATTCCAGACTGAAGATCAGTAAAAGGTAGAGGCGTGAGGTGGAGGGAAGAAACTGAAGACGCCTGTGAGCATGTCATCACAGTAGCTTTTCATGAAGTCCAGTCTGACAGGAAAATACTGATTCCAGTAAATGGCTAGTCAACCAGGGGGGAATGTAGGAAGATCAAAATCAGACCACAATTCTTAAAACCAGGCAAAAGGAAGATAAAAGAAATGTGTAAGATCAGAGACTGGAATTTTGGAACTAAACAATTGAACATACAGAAATTACAGATGATAACAAAGTTTAGTCACAGAACTTAGCTGTTGAGTGGTTTGAAGGTCACTGTAAAATAGGAAACTAGTGAAGTATAAAGACACAGAGCTCGATGGGTTGCTGACTTGAACTGTGCAGATGATGGCAACTATTACACATAATGAAACAGGCTGAGGAGATATCCAGGTGCGAAAATCCTTGAGAAATGTGGAGGCATAATGGAAAAATAAGGAGCAGTCTGGAATGAAGGGAAGACGATGTTCCAACCAAGCAAACCCAGCTTTCAAACAAGAACAGTTGTAAGGGAAGGCTATGAAAGAAGGATTGAAATGGCTGTGTGAAGCCAGAAGAATGATACTGTCTAAAATCATGGCAGATACAGAAACAGGAATCAACTCCTCAAAGGCCTGAGCACAAAGTAGATGCAATTTATTTTTTTTAATCAATTAAAAGGTAGACAAGGAAATTTTAAAAGGAAAAAGTTATTTTTCTGCATGTGAAGGAACATACAGACAGATTGCTGTATTATACTACTATATCAATGATCTAGCCTTTCTTAAATTACATTGGATAGGACTGTATACATGTTTAAAAAGTATGTACTTTAGCACTGATCTTTCATACTTTTTAACCATTACAAATTCAGATTTTAAAAAACAGTATATATTACATATAAGTCTTTGTTTCCTCAGCATGAAGGCACTACACAGAAGGAAAAGATGACAATTTAAGATTCTTGAAGTCAACGACTATCAAGCAAAAAGCTCAATACATGGGCAAGCCAAGTATTCTGTCAATTCAGAAAACACACACACACACATAAAAGTTAAGAGGCATTTACATTATCCATGTTAAAAAGGAATATGATTTGGAAACATTCAGAAAAGCATACAAAATGAAGAGTATCCAAGTTTTTTTTCTTTATCATTTTCAAAGCATATATAAAAACCAATGACTTCAGACAGCACTTTAAAAGAAAAAAACAATGGTTTCATTTATTATGGCTGAGTAATATTCCGTTATATATGTTGTAGGCCTGAAACTAATATCATATTGTATACTAACTATATAATTTAAAATTAAATTAATTTTTTAAAAATAAAAACAAAAATATCACAATTTAAGAGTATAGATTATTTGTATCTATAAGATTTTAGGTCTCCCAAAATGTGTGCATCCCTATGTTCCTAAAGAATATCAAGATTCCCAGATGTAAACACCATGCCACTGTCTTCTAAGGGAAGTATACAATCTGATTTTTCTGCAACATGTCATTTGTTTGATATTCCATATCCTTTAGTAATAGTTTTGTAATACGATATATAGCTGATAATCTTACCAAGATTTCAAAACGTAGAAAGCAAAAGAATAAATAAATAAATCAGGATAGTTTTAAGAGCATAAAAGCCTTTAGCCCTCTAATGTATTTTTAACTGGCAAATCTTAAAGCAGAAGATAAATTATTCTAGAAAAAGAGACACAGAACTATTTTAAAGTAGGCACAGAACTATTTTAAAAAGTCAAAGATTATATCTTTTGACCATATGGAATGGCTCAACAATGTTACTTATTAAATAATTTATTCTTTAAGTCATAATGTGTTTTGTCAACCAGTATCATTTTTATCTTAATATACACTTCCAGATATAGCCTCGAGTCACTTTTTGAAAACCATTAGTCCTCAAAAACAAACAAAGGAGTAGGCTATATGACTAATGCCTTAAGGTAGATTTGGAAGTTTATTAAGAATTAAATACTTGTTAGAGGTATTATTCAATAAGATATTTAAAATAATACTTTTTTCCAAAATTATTTGCAACGTATTTCAACATCACAGATTTACTGGACACTTGAATTTGCAGTGAAATATCTATTACCCTTTCTTCCTGATTAACCATTGCTCGAACTGCGACATGCTGCATTAATTTTTAAGGCTTTTAAAGTGGAAATTACAATGCCTGCTGTGATAATTGTGATACCACCCTAACTGTGGCAATCACTTTAAAACTACTTCTTTGCTTATCATTAGCAATGCTAAATGATAAAAATAATTATATCAGGAGTATTCTGGGAAATGATTGTTTAACAATTTTTAATATTCTGAAAAGTTCAATCTAGAAAACTCTCAGCGCCATGGATTAGGATATTGGCTGATGACATGGACCCTTCTAAATTTCCTCTAATTAAGTAAAATCTCCAGATGTTTCTCAATCAATCAATTCCCCCAACCACTCTTCTCTCTAGCTACCACCTCCCGTATGCGCAGGCTCATTGAACCAGTTGGCAGACCAGGCTGACAACAGAATAATCAAGGTAGAACAGTTTCCCTGGATCAAATCAGTTCAAATTCAAGTCTGAAAGCTTTAGAGCTGCTTTACCTCAGGACAACCTGTCACGCAGTATGAGTCATATGGGTTAAAACAAAAAGCACTCGAGTGAGTGCAAAGTGATCACTTCCTCCATCTGCTATATGTCCAAGAAACTCATAATTAAAAGGTAAAGCATCTTTTCCATGACAGATTATCTGAAATAAGCATCTGTCACTCTTAAGTTCTGACAATTGATTTTATAAATATAATTGCTCTACATTTTGTTTTCTTTTGAAAGAAAGCCAACTTCTCCAAATGATTATTCTTCTGGAATGTTCAGAGATCTTGACAAGTGACAAATGATGAAGCAGAAATGATAAACCAAGACTAAACATGGATAAAAATCAATCATGACTTTCTTGCTTATTATCTTATAAACATCTGGGTTTAATTCAACCCAAAGATATAGCTGAGAATCAACAAAGGAGCATAAAATCCATTTAAAGTAACTGATTATACAAGAGAGAAGATGATGTGAAGTGCATAGACAGATCAGTGAAATGTTTTTTGTTGCTATCAAAAGGGCATGAAAGCAGAATCCTAAAGAGGCTTGTGATCTGATAATACTGCTCAGTCACTGAGATTATCAATGTCACTCATTTAACTGAACCCATTATAGTGGCTGCCAGAAAATGGTCCAGCAGTATCTACTTGCATTTTTTAATGCTTCTTTCTAACAAATACTTAAGTTGAAATATATGAATAAATGAGATTCTAAAATATATGCTTTAGGTGAAAAGTCATGTGATGTTAAGGAAGACTTCATAATTTTCTTCCACTTGAATATTAAAGAAAAACTTCGATTTAGGGAACCAAAAACAAAACTGGGGGAGGGGGTTAGATCTATATTAAGGGCCAACTCTGCAAAGCCACGGAATGTTAAACTATTAACAAGCCTTTAAAAAGATTTTAAAAACTAAGTTACCTTTTACCTTGAAATAGTCAAGATATAAACACTCTTCTATCAAGGACATCTTGATAGATTATATGCACAGCATGGCACTCGAGTGTTTGTTCAAAGGAGAGATGAACGAATGGAATTTGGTTTTTATACCTGATTATTCTTGTCTGTCAGTTGATCAAGAGTGTCAGTTTGTTTCTCCAATGCTCGCTCTAACTTCTTATGCTTCAGCTTCCATTGCCTAATGGAGTCCTGAGCTTTCAGTTTCAGCTCTTCTCTCCTCTTCTCTGCCTCCTGTCTCAGGGTCTCTGACTGCTGGAACTCGAGGAGGTACTGCTCAGCCTGCTTGGTTGCATCCTCAGCGTGCTGAGTCAGCTCTGAGATCTGGAGGTCAGCATGCTTATGCCTGGCCTCACATGTCTCAAAGTGATTCTGGATCTCCTTAAGTTGATCCAACATCTTTAGTTGCTGTTTTTCCTTGTTCTCCAATTCACGTGTTAAATTCTAGGAATAAAGCATGTGAAATATTAGGAACATAATCTTACCAAAACTGGATGCATGACATAACATCAAATAAGAATCTCTAATGTCACTGAAATGGGAATCACCTGTATTAAATTTCAGTAGCAACCAATCTAAAAAATATAAGTCCCTTTCTATATATTTTATAATAGTATTAGTTGGGAATAATTTTTTACAGAAATATTCTTTTTTAGATTACATCATTTATTTTCCACTTGACCATCACTAAAATAGATAGTCTTATTGATGAGAAAACAATAGCATTACTTTAGTAAGAACTTAGTGTTTTGGTCAACGGAAGAAATGTCAATGTTTTAAAATGTGTCATATAATCATAGCAATCGTATATAATATTCCACTTTCTGGCAGCACCTAAAATTTGTTAAAATAAAAATCCGTAACTAAAAAATAAGCATTGATGATAGAAACATCAGTTTAAATAATACTGGATTTCAAAGTCTGTTTAAAAGGCTCTCACTAAAGGATTGATACATAGGTTATTTCCAGCTAAGTCAATATAAATTATGCGTTGATGGACTTTTCTCGAGCTTACAAGAATCACTGTGGAGTGAATTTTTAAATAAACTTATTAAATTTATTTGAAATACTTATCAATCCAGAAAAGAATATGAGTTCTTAAAATCTAGCTACCCTACAACACAGTTGGTCAATAATACATTTGGAAGTTACACTAAATCATCATGATTCATATACAGTTTTAATTTTAATAGAACAGGTAAAGTTCAATTTTTAACCTCAAAAATGAAAGAACATTGCTTTTATATAACATTTTATACAAATAAAATAATATTGCTATCATTAATATTAAGCCACTATTGTAAAACTTTGAAAGGGAGTGACAAATTCAGAAATAAGTGCTTATAATGTGTCCCATGAGTGGTCCCTCCCGAGTCTTAGCTTCCAAATACCCAGGGTAACAAAGTTAACATGAAAAGTCATGTGTCCAAATAAGATTGGGTTCAACAGACTGCCAGCTGGACCAAAAAAAAAAAAAAAAGAATCTACGTTGTACTAAGGCACCTACAAATAGACTGCAAGCATTTACCAACTGCCTCTGGCTCTACAGCAGAATCTTCAGTTCCAGATTCCATTATTCTTGAAATATAATTTCTCTCTTGATTAAAGTTATGGCTTAACATTATGGCAAATAATAATAATAATAATAGTTATGGCTTGACATTATGGCAGATAATAATAATAATAATGCCTCAAAAAAAAGTTTCATTTTCTGAGCAACGGGTTTGCATTTGCTCAGTTTGCTAAATTCAATGCAGACTGGAAGAGATGAATCACTCCTTTATACACCCAAACAAAACAGTAAATTGAAGAACTGTACACTTGTTTGTATGGAAAATTCTAAATGAAGATCAAAAAGCCCTTGTGATGATGGTTTACCCCTTTGCCCTTATCTAACATTTACCACCATGCTAGAAATCAGCTTTATTGACAAGCCATCTCCAAATGATTTCTACATCAACAGAGATGTACCCTTTTTTTTTTTTTGACAAACATTTGGGAGAATGGTGTTAGGCACATAATTTACAGGAAGGTTAATAAGATCTGGATTCATCATCAAAGAAGCTAATAATTTAACTGGGGAGATATTCACACAAACAGCTAAATTACAACATGGACAATACTAGGTGCTAAAATGTGATAGACAGCTGAAGGAGTCTATATTCCACAGTGTGGCTGAGGATAGGCTCCCTTAGGGGGTGACCTATGAGCTGAGTTTTAAATGAAAAAGAGCTAGCAATAATAGTAATAATAATGATGATAGTGATAATAATAATAAAATTACTACTACTAAAGTTTATTGGGCACTTGAGTTTTGCAAGGAATTGTACAAATACTTTATATAAATCACCTCAGTCAATCCCACCACAAAACTAAAGTAAGGCACTATTTTTATCTCAATTTTAGTGAAAGGTAACCAAGGCTTAGAATCTTCCCAAGATCACATACCTATTAAGTGAGGGCACTGGATTCTGACCCAGATGGTCTGGTTCCAGGGCTCATGTTTTCAACTCTGCTAAGCTTCCAGAATCTCAGATGACCCCAGCTCCAAGCCTCTTCACTCGCTCACTCGCTCACTCCCATAGTCCTATCGTAGTGTTTTTTTTCCAAGACTGCCACCTTTGAAGTAAGAGGTATGTCCCAACCTCGCTTCTCCCACCGTCTCCTCCTACCTCTTTCCCCTCCCCTCTTTCTCGAGCCTCTGGCTTTATCCACCAATCTGCCCAGTTCCCTCACTCCCTTACTTCTGTACAACTACTCTTCGCTGTCAAGATAATCACTCCCTTAGTATTCCTTTTGCCGGCTTTAAATGAAGGCTCTTTAAACTATCTTCCTTCATTTTCATTTTAGCCACTCTCTGGCTCACATCTCAAACTCCTTTATAAAACTGTTCATCCACTAAACCGAAATAGCAAAAGCGCCAGCTCTGGGGGAACTAAAATATTTCCTATGTCAGATTACTGAGTCTTCTAAGGAAGATCACTCAGGAGTGTCAATTGATGCGATGGCACATTGAGAGCCAACTCCTCAGTGCCCAGAAATTCCTCCGCATGCCTCTACCCAGCCCACACAGTGGGTGTTCCAAAATGTCCTATCTCCTTTCACTCATCCCTAGTATGTAACATAGCTCCTCCTTGAGAAACAAAATTGAGGCTATCAGGCAAGATACTCCCCAAATTCCCTAGATGTACCATCCTGAAAGTTAACAATGGCCAATCTCTCCTCCTCCCACATCCATCAAGGGCTTCACTATGTCAACTGTGCCCTTTTCCCTGTCTTCAACCTATCTTTACCTACAAGATTTTTCTCTACTCCCATCTTAAAAGCTCACAATAATATTTTTTTAATGAAACAAAACAAAATCTGTATGAATCCAACATAATCTTCTAGCCAGTACCAGTACTCTTTTTCCTGTTAAGTCAAACTGCTGGAAAGAGCAGTCCACACTAGATGCCTCACAATCTTATTTGCAATTCACTTCTTGATTTGTGGATCTGGTTTTCATCCCTATCATACAATTAAAATAGTTCTCATCAAGATCCCCAAAGATCACCTAAAGCCAAATATAATGGACTGTTTTAAAAATCTTTCCCAAATTCCCTATAGTATATGACACTGTCAATTACCTCTTCTCATTCTTAAGTCTCTCTTCTTCCCTGAGTTTTATAATACGCTTCACCTTTTTCTTCCTATTATTTCATAATCACCTTTCCTGGGTCCCTTCTACATTTATCTTTTTTTTTTTTTTTCAAGTTTACCATATCTTGGTTCCAATATTTATTATACTGACAGGTTAGCAATACTAGGATAAATAAGTAATATTTCTCTTACAGAAAATTGTAATGATACTATTGCGAAGGATTAAACACTCTGAGGATTTCACAGAAACGTCAGAATTTAAACAGACAGTAGCCAGAGTCTTTGTGGCCAGTGTGAATGACCTCTCATATCTGTAAATGCTCTGGGCCAGATTTCCACAAACATCTGCATGACAAAAACAATGCCATTAACATCCAATCATGTGAAAGCCTAGGCATCACCTAGCTTCAAACAAGTCTCCACTGAATGTGGTTTTCAACTGCAAGAAAAGGAAAATGGAATATTCTTTGGCTCTTCCCACCTAGAAATAACTCCTGACCTAAGTTAAGTCACTGAACAAGAGTCCTAACCCTTTGGAAGGTGGACTGACAGTTTTCTTCCTGCGACATTATAACTGAGTTTGCAACTGAGAGGACCTGTAGTCGTGCCCATGAATTTTACGTTCATGCCTGGGTGCCAAGGAAAGGAGGGGCTTCTCCGTTGCACTGCTGGCCAGCCAAATTCTGTTCTCCTGGAGCTGACACGCTCGCTCTTCTGGACACCTGAACCATTTATCTTTTAAACAGAGATAACTATACAGAGTTCCAGTATTAAACATTATCCCATCTACAAAATATCTTGGTACGTAAGTATATTGTACGTAGACAGAGATATAAGTGATTCTTTTGAAGCCGAGACTGATCTTCTAAACCCCAGACCTTCAAAGACCTAACTGCATAATTAGGTAATCCCCATAGACAACAAGAATAGGCACAAGATTGATATACACTCACCCAAAGGTTAAGTAGATAAATTCTTTTCTTTTCACATTTAAAAATTGCACACTTTCACATTAACATATTACACACAATAATTCACGTAGAAAGGTATTTGAAAACATCATGGCACTGACTGGCTATATGAGTGTAAACAAACAGAAAATGATGCGGGTCTTATTGAAAATGACTGTGATTCTCACTATTGATGGGAAAGTTTTGAATTTGACCTGGATGGACAGACACCACCTCTGACTGCCCTGAGTCTGGAAACTATTGCTACTGCTTCACCTCCATCAAGTCTGTCTGTTTTGGTGCTTCAGATAAAACCTGTTGTAGAATCCCTTTCTATATTCATTCTTTGGCAGACCCTATTCAGCCATTGCTTGGACATTTTCTTTAATCCATCTTTCTCAAATAAACAACCAGAATAATCTAATTGTAATAAACATTTCTGACCCATCAATCTAAAGAGTATACTGCAGAACCCTCATAACAATTCTTTCCATACACAAACATATACATAGAAAGAGCACACGAGTATATATACACATCATTAATCCATAAAAAAATGCTTTCAGGGTAGGCACATTTTGGCATCAATTCTCAATCTCCAATGATAAGAATGTTCTTCTCTTTCTGGAGGGCTCCCTCCTCATGGAAAATATTGTGATCTGCTTTTAGGTAGAAACAGGTTAGAGAGCCCTTCCTGTACCTACTATTTCCCAAGTGCCTTCAGCCCAAAATAATAAATATGACGAAGTAGCAAACTTTGGGTGACAAGTTTTCCTACCCTTCACGGTACATTACCAAAAGGTTTATAAAAGCTCCAATTTAGTCTCACACTTTATACATTTAAATTCCGTTTTT